TTATTGTATAATGGCCCCAGAACATTAAATGGTTACCCCCAAGCATGCTGTAATGGTTATGGTGCCAGGTAATGTCGAATGTGGACCATGCACGTCACTGGACCACCATGGAGCCTCAGTGCCAGGCAGGGACCCATGTAAGGGAGCACACTGTTGAAAAACGGTTTGTCCCCGTTACCTGGGTCCCTGTCTGGCACGAGGCTCCATGGTGGTACAGTGATGTGCAAGTTCCATATTCGACATTCAATGGCTGAGAGCATCAGCTGACCACTCTCAGCCAATGACTGCAATTCTGGCTGTCAATTGCACAGAATTGACATTAGCCAACCCAGAGCTCTAGTTCTGCACTGGCTGATGACACCTCTCTGATGCTGCTACAGGTGAAGTTACACCTCCGTGAGCATAGGGGTCAATCTCTGCATGTGCAGAGTTTTAAAGTAAAAGGCTGCACACACAGATTCCAGGCACCATGAACACTTCATATTACTGACGTGGTCATGGTGCTTGGATTAACCCTTTAAATCTGACGCATTATATGCTGATGCTCTGTCCTGTCCATCTCCCCAGGTTCTATGATAAAGTACACACCTTTCACCAGGCAACAGATAATCCGGTGGCTGATCCCATTCTTGCCTACACCTTGTTAAAGAGGCTGCACTTGGAGTGGATGAACGTGGTACACAGTTTAGAAGTTACTGAAAATATCCAAGGTACTGATTGCCTTAAATTTCTGATGGTGACTAGCTTTGTTATTTAAAATGAGTATGGCTTCTTCTACAGGGTTAGTTATGGTGTGATCAGCATATTTCCATTAAATAAAGTAGACAAGCTTTCAGCATCAAAAGGGTTCTCCATTGCCCATATACAAAAATCACAGTTTAGTAGGTATACCCCAATGAAAACATGCATGCCTTTAATTTTACATTTTTTAATTGGGGGGGGGGGTTAATCTATATATAGCTTGCAAAATCTCCAGATCTTCTGCCTGCAGCCTTTGCAAACCCTTCCCTTCTCACCCCGCGCAGACTTTCTGTAGCTGTCCAATCACAAACTTCCCAATGCAATTTAATGAGAAGTCTTTACAAGGCAAGTGCTCTTGGCAGTTGCGGTCTCTTGAGTTGAGCTCTGCTGAGCTTACCAAACCAGGAAGTAAAAGGACCAGTTGTCTGATTGACTGCCAGGGGGGTGTAACCAGGTTATTTATGAAAGTGACAATTTATATTGAAATCTGCATTTTTTGCAAATTGGGAAAAAGATGTAATTCTCTTCGCGTAAAAAAACATTTCAGCAGGCTAGAGTGCTTTAAACGTCCAAGGTGTCCCTTTAAACTGGAGTTGGAGGTTAAGAGCATCTAGGAATCTAGCTATGGATGCCCCTTCAATACAGAATGGCCACATGTACAGTTCTAGAACCTGGGCAGCCATTGCACCACATGGCACAGTAAGGACACACATTAAGCATGTAATAGTTCCCTTATTCTAGCCTTAAATTGGCCATATCAGACTCTTATTCGTGAGATACTTAATGTGCAATGTTGTCTGTGTACATTTATTCATTGTTAATAACACAAAACATTTTTCAAGAATAACTATTATTATCTTTTCTGTTTTGTGCCTTCTTGGTTTGCAGCCCTGAAGGACGGGTACGAAAACGTGGCAAAAGATTTGCCCATTTTTGAAGACATAGAAGGAGCAGCCAGAGCTTTAATGAGGCTACAGGATGTCTATTCCTTGAATGTGCAGAGAATGGTGAAAGGAAAACTCCAACGAGATGCCCGCACCGAACTGAGCCTCCTTTACAACCCTGCAATGCCCTCCATCATGTCTGCAGATGACTGCTTCCATATTGGCAAAGTAATCAAGTGACCTTTCCATAATCCTCGTTAGTAAATGCCTCTTATCTTGGTCTTTTCATGAAATCAAAGAAGAAAAAAAAGTTACTTGCACACTATTCCAAATTTTCTGTGTAATATTTATATAAATGGAGGTTTTTCATTCCACTCCAATGGCCATTAGATGCAAACCTCTTAGGTGGGTCCTACACTAGCAATTCACCTTGCTTGATTCACCATAAAGGCAAAGAGAATCTGTAATGAGACCGAGAGGGGTATTTTATAAACTTCTACATACTTATTAACCCTTAATAGGGAACACATGGGATGGATGCCAGCAATGTAACATGACTTTGTGATACGCAGGGCCTAACACTCGACCCCCTACAGAGTGGCAGGGCCGGACTGGGAATACAAAGCAGCCCTGGAAAAAAAATTTGTGCCAGCCCCATAAGTCACTGCGCCATATATTGTCGCGTGTAATATGTAAGGCTATGTCTTGCCATGACAGATGATTGAGTAATATATATATATATATATATATATATATATATATATTTATTGCTTTTTCTAATATAAAATATTGGTCCTTTTCAGGGTAAAACGTTTAATTATACAGTAAGCATACTCACATGCAGACACAGGCAATTTCACTGACATCTCAATGACACACACAAGCTCATTGATACACAGCCTCATAGACAAACAATCTCACTGATATACATCAGCTCATTGACAAAAACACAAGCTCACTCACTAGCAGGCACACGCAAGCAAGCAAGCTCACTCACTAGCAGACGCACACACACAGCTTAATGTAGTGGTACTGGTGTCTACAGGCTTTTCAATGTAAACACTGACTTTTCAGAGAAAAGGCAGTGTTTACATAGCTTCAAAGTGACACCGCTAGTGACAGTCACTCAGACGGTCACTAGAGGTGCTTCCTGTGTTAGTGCACCTACATTCAGGGCCTCCACACTCTGTAGGTGCTGAACGTTACCCATAGAGATACATTGATTCAATGCATCTCTATGAGGAAATGCTGATTGGAGTGGCGTTTTGCAGCCAATCCTATGGCAAAGCATTGGATTGGCTGAGATCATCAAGCTTGATGATCTCAGCTATAGAGGCAGGGCCAGTCGAGGGGAGACCAGCACGCTGCGTGGAGAAAAAAAAGGTGAGCAAAAACACTATTTTTAAACACACATATACACCCTGACAGACACAGAAACACACATATACCATGACAGATACACACCCCATGACAGATACACACACACCATGACACAGACAGACCCCACACACACACACACACACGACACAGACAGACACACATACCATGACACAGACAGACACACACACCCCATGATGGACAGACAGACACACACCCCATGACAGATACCCCATGACAGACACACACACACCATGACAGACCATGACACAGACAGACCCACAGACAGACACACACCCCATGACGGACAGACAGACACACACACACCATGACAGACCATGACACAGACAGACCCACACACACACACACACACACACACCCCATGACGGACAGACAGACACACACCCCATGACGGACAGACACACACCCCATGACGGACAGACACACACCATACAGACACCATGACACAGACAGACACACACACCATAACAGACAGACAAACTCACACTGACTAATACCTGCCAGGGAGATGTCTTCTGGAGGCCACTGGGGAGGTCTGCTGGCGGCCGCTGGGGGACTTGTACTGGAGGCTGCTGGGGAGGTCTTCTGGCGGCCGCTGCGGGACTTGTACTGGCGGCCGCTGGGTGAGCTGCACTGACTCTGCTCTCCCGCCCTCGCGCGCTGCTGAATGAGACCGGCGCCGGAATATGACGTCATATTCCGGCGCCGGTCTCATTCAGCTGCGCGCTGGGGAGCAGAGCCAGCGCAGCTCCCCCTGCGGCCGCCAGTACAAGTCCCCCAGCGGCCGCCAGAAGACCTCCCCAGCGGCCGCCAGCAGACCCAGGTGTCTTCCCGGCCCAAGGTGCCGACGGCCCACCGGAAAATTTCCCGGTATCACGGTGGGCCAGTCCGGCCCTGCGCAGTGGTCACCACCTGAACAGAGACTGTTGGTGGCAAAACGGTCACCAGGCCTTCACTCTACCTCACAGAGAGGGCTCTAAAAGCCACGGCCAGATTGCAGGGATAGCTCCTAGAGGTTATTTAGCTAGTGTCACGCCGCCGTCCGCTCCTGCCAGAGAGCGATATGTGTCCCAGCGGGCGCGTATCTTTGCGGCGGCATTCCAACATTGCAAGGGGAATTTCGTCGACTACTCACCCTGTCTCTAGGCACCCGCTGGGACCCAATGCCGCCAATCACTTACCTCCTCTTGCGATGCCTGCTGTCTTCTGGCAGGCACTTCTCCCCTCACACAGTGGCCGGGTCTGTAATCATTAGAGGCGCTGGCTGCTGCAAGTAAGAGCCTTTTAAGATTCTTGCTTAAGAAAAAATAACGAATACCCTGAATCTCTCGTTATGTGCACAGTAGCTAACTAGAAAATCATGCTTACAGTAGAATAAAC